AGGCGGGCTCGTCGCCCGAGGCAGATTGACGCGCTGCTTCGCACCAACGTGCCCAATCCGGACCTCGACGTCGGGGGCCAGGACAGGCGCGTGCGCGGGGTCGCCAAGTTTCTGCTAGACGTGGGGCGCTTCTACGGCATCATCGCCGAGCTGGAGTGGGTGCGCTGCCAGCTGGACTCGCTCTCGATCGGCTTCTTCAAGGCCGGCTTGTCGGCTCTGGCCGATCCCGCGTTCCAGGATTTAGCGCGGCGCATTTTGGATCGCGCCGCCGGGCACGAAGCGGCCCATTTTGCTGAGAAAAAGCAATGATTGGCAAAAATGGGTTCGAGATAGTTCTGCGGGGGGGGGGGCGAGGTGCCCGTCGGTTCTCGCGCGCGATCCAGGAGGTCATTGGAGCCACCCGAAGGGCCCAACCCTGTGAGCTGTTGGATGACGCGATGTCTGAGCGGGGGAATATTTGGGCCGCCCGCGGGCGCTCCCAGCCAGAGATCCCTGGAGACGCGCATATTTGGGATCCCCTCCGTGGGGCTTCAGTTTCTGATCTTCGGGCCGCCATTTGGAAGTTTCCAGAGCGCGCGGCGGTGGGGCGCCGTCAAATTCATCCTCGGTCGTTGCCGTATTGCTCGGTGCTTTTGCCGAATTGCTGTATCAGTGTGAAGCGTGTCTGTGCTGGCCAGCTCGGCGTTTGGTCAGTGGGCTGGTCCGTTTAGCTTGTTAGGTCTGACGGTGGGCACCGTTTGATAGCGCTGCTGGGCAGGTTCGTCCGCGCGCGGGGCAAGCTTCGACGGCCTGTATCAGGGCGCCGGGGGCGCGACTATAGAACGGGTGAGTTCTGGGGGAGCGGGGGGGGGGGCGGAGTTCTAGCGACTCGGCCTTTGATTTGAACCTGTCGGCGGAGCTGGATATGGCCAGGTACGAGAACATGATTAATATGTCGGTCTTGTTTGAAATTTTTCGGCAGGTAAGTTCCCCCTTTTCGTCCTGGGTGGATGCTAGTTCAGTGCTGCGCCGCCCCCCCGACGAGTAGACGCTTTCGTGAGTTCGAGTGAAAGCTGCATTTCCTTCCAGGGTATCCTGGCGCGGTGCTCGCACGCTGGCGCCAGGTTGCTCGCTGTGCTCCTGGCGCCCGCAAGAGAGACGGTCAGGCGATCCCCTGCAGCGCGGGTTCGCGCCCTCATAGACGAGGTCTCGCTGCAATGGGAAGGGCCAGTCGCCGCGGGGCCGAGGTGGTCTTCAAGGCGGTCCGAGAGCTGCGCCGTCGCGTCGCCCCGATCGGCCTCCTGCTTCAGCCTGACAAGTCAGGCTACATGGCCCGCGGCGTAGCAGCTGAAAAAAACGAAAGATGTTGGACGCCTCGCTTCTCGGCTTCAGGAGCAAGAAGCATGTGATACATTTGGGCCGCGACATCTTCGGGGGGGCGCGCGCGGCGCGCCATCGAGAAACGCCGCCGCCGACAGCCCCAGGGCCGTCGGGCGAAGCTGCGGGCCCACAAGGGGGCTGCTGGGCCAAAGGTGGCCGCGCTCTGGCGCGCGGGCTTCATGCCCAGCGGGGGCCGCGGGGCGGCGGTCATGAGGATCCAGGACTCTACTTTAAGATCGTTGCGCGCGCTGGCTGATTGGAGCTCGAGGCAGGGCGCATCACGCAGCCCACCTCGCCACCCATCGCGATCCCAGCTACGATCCCGTGGTTGACGCGACGGTTCCTTTAGTGTGTCGTTATTGCTATTGGGTTTGGGATCGCAGGGTGAGCGATGTTGATTTGTTGCGGGCTTGGCAAAAAGGCTCGTGAAACGCTGTCTCAGCAGCATTTGTGGAGGCTCGTGCGGGGCCCCGTCGGGGCGTTTTACTTCAGTCTCTGGCGTGTGGGGTGGCACCTTGTCGGGCCCGCATGATCAAAACCGACCAGGGTGATCTTCCGCTGCCCGCTCACGATTCAGGAGCAGTGTCTCGGCGGCGCGCCTTCCTGCTGCTGCTGCTGCTGCTGCTGCTGCTCCTCCTCCTCCTCCTCCTCCTCCTCATTTCCCTCCTCTTTCTCGGAGCTGGCTGCTGCGGGCGCCGCTCAGGCCTGTGGCAACGTTGATGCTGAGCTGGCTGCCGTGCGCGCGATCCGCGAGCAGCAGCGCGCGGCTGGGCCGCACTGATTAGGTGGTCGCCATGATGACGAGCGGCTGCAGCATGCAGGATAGGGCTGGCGCGCCATTGTCGGCGGAGGCGCTCGCGCAGGAGCTGCGCGGCGAGATGGTCCGCATCATGCAGGAGGCTGGCGCGCAGCCGCAGGCGGCGGCCGCGGGCGCGGCGGCGGCGGCGCGGGTGCGCCCATGCGAGGGCAGCCCAGGTGGCTGCGCGGGCCTGCACGCCGAGACCGCGGCGGCGGCGCTGGAGGCGATCGACGTCAAGCGTGCTGGTGCACCGGGGCTCGCAGCAGCTTCGGAGGCCGCGAGTGTGCGCTCGTCTGGGCCCTCGGCCTTTGCGGAGGCCGCGCGGCCGAGTGGGCGGCTGGCCGAAGCTGCGGTGGCCGCGTCGCAGAAACTGAGGATGCGGGGTTGCGAGGCAGCCAGGAGGGCCGCGGGGGAGCAGCTCGCTAAGCACCTCGCGCACCTCCCCATGCCAGGGGCAGCTCCTCGACCACCCCGTGGCGAACGTGGAGGACATGCGGCGCGCGCCACCGAGCGCGACGTGGGCCTCCTGGGCGGCGTCGAGGTGTTGGCGGAAGCTGCTCACCGAGAGGCGGCGGGCGGCGCGGCCTGGGGGGGCCAGCCCCGCTGGGGGCGGCTCCCCAAGGCACGCGATGTGGGCGGCCGGCCGAGGCTGCGGCGGCCGCGTCGCAGGTCTCGAGGGCGCGGGGTAGCCAGCCAGGAGGGCCGCGGGGGGGCAGCTCGCTGAGCACCTCGCGCACCTCCCCAAGCCAGGGGCAGCTCCTCGACCACCCCGTGGCGAACGTGGGGGACATGCGGCGTGCGACGTGGGCCTCCTGGGCGGCGTCGAGGGGTGAGCGGGAGCTGCTCACGTGGAGGTGCCCTGCTACCCGAGAGGCGGCGGGCGGCGCGGCCTGGGGGGGGCCAGCCCCGCTGGGGGCGGCCCCCTAAGGCACGCGATGTGGGCGGCCGGCCGAGGCTGCGGCGGCAGCGTCGCAGGTCTCGAGGACGCGGGGTAGCGAGGCAGCCAGGAGGGCCGCGGGGAGCAGCTCGCTAAGCACTTCGCGCACCTCCCCAAGCCAGGGGCAGCTCCTCGACCACCCCGTGGCGAACTTGGAGGACATGCGGCGTGCGCCACCGAATGCGACGTGGGCCTCCTGGGCGGCGTCGAGGGGCGAGCGGGAGCTGCTCACGTGGAGGTGCCCTGCTACCCGAGAGGCGGCGGGCGGCGCGGCCTGGGGGGGGCCAGTCCCGCTGGGAGCGGCCCCCCAAGGCACGCGATGTGGGACAGGCAGTTGTGGGGCACCCTGCGATAACTCGCTGGGGGCGTCGGCGGCCAGCGGAGTCGCTGGAGTCGGTGCCGGCTCGCAGCGCGCAGCCCCGTGGGCCAGCCGGCTCGCCGACCAGGGTGCCCGAGCAGGGGCTGCCAGTTTTTTGTTTTGTCAGTCCATAATGCGCCATCGTGGGGCAGTCTGCCGGCGCCGGGCGCCGCGCTGCCGCGGGCGCTTCAAGATGAACTGGCGAAGGGCGTGAGCGCGAGGCCCCCCTCGCTCGTGGCACCGCGCCCATGGGCCCCCGAGGAGGGGCAGGTGGTGGCTGCAGGACATGGCGCGGCTGCAGGACCCGCGCGGGATGGCGCGCAGACGCAGGGGGCCGCCTCGGGCGCGGCGGCGGCGGCGCAGGTGAGCCCACGAGGTGGCGGCCCAGGAGGTCCAGCCCCAGGTGCCCGTGCAGGGGATGCCAGCTCGTCGCCCAGCCAGCACGCCATATGGAATCGTGGGGCAGGTCTGCTAGCGCCCTGCGCCGCGCTGCCGCGGGCGTTCCAGGATGAACGGGCTAAGGGTGAGAGCGCAAGGCCCCCCTCGCTCGCGGCGCCGTGCTCGCGGGCCCCCGAGTCGGGGCAGCCGTTGGCCGCGGGCCCTGGAGCGGCTGCGTGCGCTGTTGCATGGCAGGGGGCGGCGCGCAGGCCTGAGCGGGTGCGCGGCCTGATCACGACGGCCAGCGTGGGGCCGCTCAGGAGCCTGCCCGTGGCGACGTGCGGCGAGCGCTTCGTGGTGGCCGCGCAGGAGCACCGCGCGACGGCCGAGCAGCTGCCGCATCTGGAGCGCGACCTGCAGGATTTGGGCTGGCGCGGCGCGCTGGCGGCCGCGGAGAAGACCAAGCGCGGCGGCGCCAGCGGTGGCGTGGTAGTCCTGGTCCGCAGCGACGTTGGTATCCGTGCCACGCCCGCGCCGAGCGGCGGCCGGAGGCACGGGCAGGCGGGTGTCCTGGCACCTGGCAGGCTGGCGGCGCACCTGGCATGGGGCCTGCCTGGCGGCATGGAACCTCGCCCTGCTGCACGCGCTGGCGCTCTACCTCGCGGAGCTGGAGCGGCTTTTCTACGACTGGATCGTGGTCGAGGTTTGGAACTTGGCGCCAGAGGAGTTGCCCTTGCATTGGTTGGGGGTCGCCTCAGGGGCGGTGGTCGCGCCCGAGTGTGCCCGGGGCGCCCGCGCGCTGCAAGTCACTGTCAGGTCGGGTGCTTCTCTACGCGGTGGCGCGCAGCAACCTCATCCCGAGGATCGGCGGGGCGGCCGCGCGGGAGGGCACCCCCCTGCCCGCGCACCTCGCCGTCGACCTCGCGATCCTGGTCGAGGGCCGCGTCTTGTGGCATCGCTTGCCCAAGGAGTCTGCCCCGCCCCCGCCTGTGCGCGCGGGGTGCGCGAGGCCGCCGCTGGCGGAGCTGCGGGGTGCTGCCCGTCGCCAGATCTACCAGGCGGCCACCCAGGAGGAGCCGCAATACTGCTGGGATACGACGCTGAGGGGATCGAGGGCGAGTTCCTCGACGCCGGGGACCTCGTCGGCGACGGCGGCGCGCGGTGCGAAGGACGCGCGGGGCCGCCCGAGAACCGCCGGGCGCGGCTGCGGTGGGCGCCGCCGCGCAAGCGGCTCAGGGCCAGCCCCGCCCTGCTCGCCTGGGCTGCAATCGCCCGCTGGGCTAAGCACGTGCTGAGGGTGCGCGCGCGCAGCTGGCGGGGATGGTGCCGTATGCCGAGCGCCAGCCAGAGGCAGCCCTGCCTGGCGTGGTCGAGAACCTGGCCGCGTTGGTGGCGTTATTCCGACGCGTTCAGGGTGCCAGGCAGGTGTGGGACGAGGTCCCCAGCGAGGTCGCCGACCTCTTCCGCCGCGGCCTGGGCATCCTCATGCTGGACGGACTTGAGGCGCGCATGGCCGAGCTCGTCGCTCGGCATGGCGAGCTGCTGCGCGAGCACTAGGCGGCCACGGCCAAGCGGTGCAAGGCTTGGGGCGACGCGACGTTCAGCAACGATGCCAGCGGGGCGCGCAGGGCGGCGCGGGTGCAGGAGCGCCCCGAGCTCGTTGGGGCGGGCCGCCAGGGCGGGCCTGCCCAGATCGCCGACCAGGCCATGGACGAGTGGGGGCACCTGTGGACGGCCCATGGCGCTGCCAGAGTGGCCGCCCCTGGTGATGCGGCCAGCTGGCCGGAGCTGCCCTCGATCAGCGGCGCGGGCGTCAGTCGCGCGCTGGGCACCTTCCGGCGGCGAACGGCCGTGGGCCAGTCCTGCTTGCATCCGCGGCAGCTGTGGTTCGCGTCGGACGACGCCATGGCGGTGCTGGCGGCCCTGTTCGCGCGTTGCGAGGGGTCGCTGCGCTATCCGTCGGGGAGGATCGTCAACGTGATGGCCCGACTGCCCAAGCCAGACGGCAGCGGGTGTCGCCTGATCACCCTTGCCAACACCCTCATCCGTGTCTGGGCGCGGGTGCGCAGGCCGTTGTCGCAGCAGTGGGTCAGGGACCACCCCGACCAGGCGATCTTCGGGATGGCGAGCGGGGCCACTGCTACGGCGTCCGCGCTCCAGCACAACATCCAGGCGGAGATCGCGCATCTCCTCGGGGGGGGCAGCTGGGCGGTGATCATGGACCTCCACAAGGCCTTCGACAGCGCCCTCATCGGCCCGCTGATCGGGTAGGCGCGTGGCCTCGGCTCCCCCATGAGGCTAGTCTGGCTGTGCATCAGCTATTTCAGGATGCCGCGGGGACTTCAGGCCTATGGGTCTTGGAGCCGCGGCGTGGTGGCCAACGGCAGCACCCTGGCGGGCTGCACGCACAGTGCGGCGTTGCTGACGGTGCTGCTCTTCAAGGCCGTGATGCGCCTGCGCCGCATCGCGGAGCAGCTGACCCCGCGCTCGCTGATGGACGACCTCACGATGCAGTGGATCGGCCAGGTGGGCGACGGGGGCGTCGCCAAGCTGCGCGCGGCCGTCCAGGTCTTCACGGAGCAGGTGCGGCCGCTGGGCATGCAGGTCAAGATGGCCAAGTGTGGCCGGCTCGCGACCTCGCAGGGGGCCGGGAAGGAGTTTCGGCCAGCCGCGTCGGTGTCGGCGCTGCCCGAGCGGCGGGGGTTCCGCCATTTGGGCTACGACGCGCAAGGGGCGGCGGTGCGTAGGCCAGTGGCGCAGGCCAGGATGGCCAAGCTGCAGGAGCGGCAGCACCGGGTCGACGCGCTGGTCAGGGTGGCGGAGTCCGGGGTCCAAGCTTTATGGCGGACGGGCTTGCTCCCGTCGGCGGCGCACGGCGCGGCGGTGGGCGGCATCGGCGAGGCGCAGCTGGCGGAGCTGTGGCGCAGGGCGGCGATGCTCTGCAGCGGGCGCGGCGGCGAAGTCCGAGGCCATCAGTTGGCCACGGAGGGCCCTTTCGTGTTTTGTCTTTGTTGCGAAGGTTCGGCTTCCACCCGCCAGTCCCCATTTTTGTTGGCCCCGGGCAAAGGGCCCGTCACCTGGGAGACTAGCAGAGCGCGGGCGGCGGCCCTGAGGCACCTCAAGGCTGGCCGACATGGCCGACACCCCCGTATAGGAATCCCCTCAAAGGGCGGATTCAGCGGCGACTAGCGCCGCGCCTACTGTCCAAGCTCCCCAGTTGCCCTAGGCGGCTGCGGAAACCCTGCAGGCCATCGCGTCCTTCTCCTCAGGCAAGAGGGTCGAAGCCTCCACGGAAACAGGACGAGAGACGAGGCAGGAAAGAGAAGCAGCGACGAGGGTCCCCAGAGCCCCCGAAACCGAGAAACCAAAGGTCCAGCGCCATAGCACCCCCTCAAGAGGGGAGGCGCAAAGGAGGAACAAAGAAGAAGCGGAGAGAGGGAGGCCGCAAGGGGGGAGCACTGGCATTGGACCGCCACGAACGCCCCCAAACGAGAGGACCACAACGGCCAGGCCGCGGGCCAGAAACCAGGAATTCGAGCCGCGTCCAGCAGGCGACAGTCGCGCTCTGGCGCTGGGCAGCTCACGGCCGTCTGAAGCGGCCCTCAGACGCAGGGGTCGGAGAGGAGCATGTTGAAGTCAGAGCCCGTCAACTGACCATGTCACTGTCAA